ACCCAAAATTTCAACAACAAAAACAAAATTCATCCCTATAAGATCGGGTCAAAATGACATCGAGTCTGGATTCCATGTCCATCCTAGTGTCAAACAGCACTTTAAAGTTAGGACTTTAATATCCATTAAGATTAAAATCTTATATATTATCTACTCCTTATGTTTATAAATATAAAATTTATAGAAATACAATATATATAACTCATATTAAGAAAATAATGTATGTATTTTTAAATTTAAATTAATCGGTCAATAAATTAAATACTGATAATTATATAAAAAAATAATTCATTAAAATGTACCACTTATCATTATCATTGTATCCTATACTTGTATTAAAAAAAGAAAAATAGATGCAATGATTGTCACTCTCTTATGTTAAGCATATAAAAGGCTTTTTTTAGTTTTTTTTATTTTAATAAAAAATATAATAGTTACTAATATTATTAAATTATTTACTTCTAAAAATAAACAATCAACATCTAATTTGTACCTAAATGAGCTCTTAATTAATTAAATTAATCTTTTACTTGAAATAAAACTTGAAAGAAAGGAATTGTTTAGAGATTCAAGCAAAATGATTAGGATAAACTATGCATTTTGGGCCGTTTTAGTACCTAGACTTTCAATTATTTTTTAAAATCATACCTAAAGTTTAGTTTTTGTTTTATTTTAGTACATGTTCAAACGTTAAGTTTTGAAAAAAATTTGAAAGTTTAGGTACTAAAACGGACCAAAACCGATAGTTTATGTACTAAACGTGCCAAGTGTTTAACGATATTGTACTAAAATGAAAAAAAAAACTAAATATTAGGTATGATTTAAAAAAAAATTAAAAGTTCAGGTACTAAAATATACTAAAACTGATGGTTTAAGTACTAAATGAGTAGTTTACCCAAATGATTATATATGTAGGAATTTTATTGAAGTTATAAAAATTGTTGGTATGCAATATAAAAATCATTTTAGTTTTGAGAGTTAGCAGTTAATAATATGATTAAAAATAAAACTTTTCAAATAATATATATATATATATATATATTAATTTCAAATAATAAAGGAAAAAATTGTTGCCAAAAATGTGTGAGCTTATTTAAATTTTTTGAAAGATTAAGTCGTATTTGAACAATTTTTATTTACGAAATTCGTTAATTTTATTAAAAATAGAGAATATATGAATTATAACGAAAGTTTACAATTATAATTGTACACTAAAGACGTAATATCTAAACACGAGAAAACTAGTCACTTAAGATCACAAGGACATATGAGAAAAAAGTTTAAAAAAACCTAATCAAATAAACTCGGATAAAAGATAGATACGAACAGTTCTTACTGCATCGACAAACGAACAACAAAGAGAATGAAGTTATTGAAAGAGCACCGACAAATCGCGAATCAGAATCGATATGAAAATACTATCCACGAACGCAAATCGCGTATTAAATACAATCCGAAGGTCCAAAGCGGGAAAGATCAACATGATAACAATAAGTATCTTAATCAGTCGTGACGGTGTCAAATCCAACCTTAAAAAATATAAACAAAAATAATCAAGTTGAATGAATATCTATTATACCTTACCCTAAAGTTCATTCTCAATTTAAATTAAAAAATTAATCCATTAAATCAAAAATTTCCAAGTTTAAATAATTTAATTATCCTTATGTTTTTTTTTTTCACGCGAGATTCGCAAAGACAAAGATTATGAATGTTGTCTTGTCTCCCACAAGGGCTTAAGTGGGCTGCCCCTAATTAAGATTTATAATAATAATAATAATAATAATAATAATAATAATAATAATAATTATTATTATTATTATTATTATTATTATTAAACATATGAATTTATAATCATATATGGACGTGAAACCCTAATCTATCGTTTTCTTCATTAGCCATGCTTGTATATATCTAGCTAACGAATGTTTATACCATATTATTTTAAGATTAATTATTATTTTTATTACAAACGTTCAGGATTTGAATCTTAATATTATATATATATATAATAAAAAATATTGGAAGTATAGCCCGTAATAAACATCTATAATGTCTAATCTAAATTAATCGATCGATGAATATTGTTTTTTTAATAGCATATGGACGGTGATTATAAATTAGTATATGTTATAATTTTGTCTTAACTTATTAATAACACATATATCTTGTAGATATAATTGCTTGAATCTGAATCCTTTAAAGAAATTAACATTCTTTTTTTTTATCAATGAGATCCTTCCATTTTTAAACATACTTTTAATTAAATTTGGTTTAAGGGCTACTTTTGTCCTAGTAGTAGACCTAATTTATCATTTTCGTCCCTATGGTATTTTCGCATCAATTTAGCCATCAAATTTGCTTAATCGCATCAATATTTAGAATATTTATTATTGTTTAGGGTTTTAAGTTAGAGTTTAGGGCTAAGGGGTTTTACTTTAGGTTTTTAGGATGATGCAATTAATCAATTTCAAGGGCTAAATTGATGTAGGAATATCATAAGAACGAAAATGATAAATTGAGTCTATTATATGAACAAAAATAACTCTTAAGCCATTAAATTAAATGGCCTAATATCAAAATAAGCATCCAAATTATACCGCTTTTCCCGAATATGTTCCTGAAGTATTTTTTGACTAATTATGGTGCCTAACGTAACGAAAGTAACCACTTTAGGTGCCCGAACCATCAATAGTGTTAATTTATCCCGTTAAGTGACACGTGTCACAATATGGTAATTTTAAAATTTTTGTTTAAAATTAAAAAAATAAATTATATTTTTGAAAAAAGCAAACACAAAAAAAATTGAAATAACCCTAAAATTTTGAAAACCTTCATTTCATTCCTTACCACATCCTTTTTCTGTCGACGAAGCTCCACTCGACCTCACCTCCCCTGACGACCAAAAACCCTATGAAATCGTGACCGAGAAACAATGTTTTATACCCCATAAACTCTAAGATGAAAATTGTGATCCCATGCAATTTCGACAACCAATCGGCAGTAACTACGATGTCACATGATTGGGAGGGTGGAAGAGACTATGTCGGGCGTGTTGGTCGTGGCCGAAAAAACGGCGACGATGAGTTAAGATTAGAATTTAGGGATTTTGGGGCATTTTTTTATAATTTAAGAGAAATTAATTTTTTTTATAAATATAATAATGTTTTTAATATTTTTCAAAAATAAATTTCAAAATATCAGATTGTGACACGTGTCACTTAACGAAGAAAATTAACGTTGTTGACGACCTAGGCGCCTAAAATGGAAACGTTTACAATGTTAGGTACCAGAATGAGTTAAAAAAAATGCTTTAAGCACCTATTCGGGGAAAAAACAGTATAGTTTAGTAACTTGTTTTCGTATTAAGCCAATTTAAATTTGTTTATACCATATTTTTTACATTAAGAAAGAAAAGGTGCAATTGCAAATGGGTCATCATCACTTCTCATGCATAATATTCTTCCAGCCATTAACCATAAGGGCAAATTGATTGTTGTTTGCACTGAGGGCCTTCATTTTTATTCTCCCACACTAAATCTATTTCTTTAAAAATAAAATAAAATTCAATTGTTAATATTCCTTAATTACTTTTTAATAAAATATCTAAATATAACAGTAATTTTTTTTTAACTTTTACTGTGTCAGATTCCATTGGTTTTACCACTTTTAACCTAAAAAGCTAATTATAATTGGAGAATAGGATAAAGATTGAAATTGCTTTTTCGACGTTTAATGTTCTTTTGCGCACCTTTAACTTCTAATTTTTATTCATTAATAAGTATAATATATTTCATTTCTTTTTTTATTAATAAAGAGATGGAGTTAAATTATTTAATTCTAAAATTAGTAAATCAAATATTTAATTTGAATTTTGAGAAAGATAATGAAATAATTTGATAAATACTTAAAAGGCAAAAGGTTATCTTTGTATTTATTGTAAATCCAATTTATCATTTTCATCTTTATCATTTTTTTTGCATCAATTTAGTACTCGAAGTTATCTATGGTGTTCATAGTAGTCCTCGAAGTTCGTTTTGACTAACAAAACCATTAATCTTCTGTATTTTTTAATACCGTCAATTTCCAGCCAAATATTACCGATGTGACTTGATGATGATGTGATATTTATTAAAGAATAACAATAAAATATTTACTAAATATAACAATTATAAAAAAATCCCAAAAAATTTGACCTAATTCTTTATTTTCACTGAAATAAATAATAAAATTTTAAGAATTTGTTATAACCAGTGTATTTAATAAATATTTTAACCTAATATCTTAATCTACATATGCATAAGACTTAAAGTTTTGTTAGTAGAAAACAATCAACGAACTTCAAGGTATAGGATGAACACCATAAATAAATTCAAGGACTAAATTGATATAAAAAATAATAAGAACAAAAATAATAAATTGAATTTTAATACGATGGCAACAGTGACTCTTAAGCCGTACTAAAATTAAAATGAATTAAAGTGGTTATAATACAAAAAGTTTGAATAATCTATTATCATCCTAAAATCGAGTCTTATGTCTAATGACAAAGTTTGAGATCGTTGTTCGAATCTCAATACATTTGACTTTTTTTTCATACTTATTTTGATTTAAATCCTCTTCTTCATCTTCTTCATCATCTGATCATATATAAAACAAAAACTCATTCTCTCACGCCTCTCTGACAAACAAACAGACAGTGACTCCCTCTGGCATCAATGATCATCGAACCACATGTGTACTCCAAATTTAGCATTTCTTTTTTCTATGTAATAAAAAGAAGCCGATCTTATGGCAGACCTTGTCTGTGGGTCCTCCTCCTTTTGACCATCTGTCTGATCAACGCTTTGCTTTGTCCTAGTACTTCCCCTTAACCATGAAAGTATGAACGTATAGATCAATGAAACAAATCCGTATCGCATCGAGTCGAGTAGAATCGAGTTAAACAGTAAAGGGTTCGATTTTCTTTTTAATATTAGAAAAAAAAACATCTTTTTTCTAAAGCTTCTCTTCTACTTTGCATCCGCAACAATTGCTCATCATAATATTCACCACTCCCACTAGCCCTTTCATCTCTCTCTCAATTGTGTTTCTCATCAATGGAGATCAGACCGCTTAAACTTTCCTATCATCTCCCATTGATGCTTATCTTTACAGTCTACATTTCAGTTTCCGCGGCGAAGCAAGCGGCGGCGGTGGCTCCGTCGCTCAAAACCGATGCGGCGGCCCTTATCGCCTTCAAAGAGATGATCGATAACGACCCGACCGGAGTTTTGTCGGGCTGGAAGCATGAAACGAGTCCATGCGTCTGGTATGGAGTTAAATGTTCATTAGGAAGAGTGGTTCAGCTTGAACTTAACCAGTGCAGCCTGTATGGGACCATCTTTTTCAATCCTTTGGCTTCTTTAAACATGTTGTCTGCTTTGGTTTTGTCTGGGAACATGTTCACCGTAAATTCAACCACTTTGGTGTTCCTCCCTTACGGACTGAAGCGTCTCGAGTTGTCCGACACCGGTCTCGTTGGTCCGTTCCCTGATAACTTCTTCTCCAAGCTACCAAATCTCCAATATGTCGATTTGTCACATAGTAATCTAACAGGGTCTTTACCTGGTGATCTCTTGTTGCCAAACCCTGATAAGTTGCAGGTTCTTGATCTTTCGTTCAACAACATAACAGGGTCCATTTCAGGGCTGAAATTGGAGAACTCATGCAATTCGTTGTTGGTCCTTGATTTGTCCGGTAATCACATCGTCGATTCGATCCCCGATGGTCTCTCCAATTGCACCAAGCTCACCGCATTGAATCTCTCGTCCAATTCCCTCACCGGTGAGATCCCGAGCTCTTTTGGAGAGCTTAAAGGGTTACAAAGGCTCGACCTTTCTTCTAACCATCTCACCGGTTGGATACCTTCCGAGTTGGGGAATGCATGTGACTCGCTCTTGGAACTCAGGCTTCCTTACAACAACTTGTCTGGTCCTGTTCCTGGCTCATTGTCTTCATGTTCTTACCTGCTGCTTCTTGATTTGTCTAATAACAACATAACGGGTCCTTTCCCGGATTCTATCCTCCAGAATTTTGGTGCACTAGAGGCCTTGTTATTGAGTAATAACATCATCTTGGGTCCGTTTCCGTCTTCCATTTCGTATTGCAAGAGCTTGAGAATTGTGGATTTGAGTTCGAATAAATTCTTTGGGACCATCCCACCTGATATATGTCCTGGAGCTGCAGCACTTGAGGAGCTGAAGATCCCGGACAATCTTATAAGAGGACAGATCCCAAGTCAACTGTCACAATGTCCCCATTTGAGGACAGTTGATCTCAGTTTAAACTATCTCAACGGATCGATCCCGGCCGAGTTGGGGGTGCTTGAGAATCTTGAGCAGCTGATAGCATGGTTCAATGAGTTGGAGGGACAAATCCCGAAAGAATTGGGAAAATGCAGTAAATTGAAAGATCTCATCCTTAACAACAATCGACTCAGTGGTGAGATTCCTGTTGAGTTATTCAACTGCAGCAATCTCGAATGGATATCTCTCACGAGCAACGAGCTCACCGGCTCGATCCCTCGAGAATTCGGCATGTTGTCAAGGTTAGCTGTTCTTCAGCTGGCGAACAATAGCTTGAGTGGTGAAATACCAGGAGAGCTAGGGAACTGCACTAGCTTGGTTTGGTTAGATATAAACAGCAACCAGCTCACCGGAGAAATCCCACCTAGACTTGGCCGACAGCTCGGGGCTAAATCCTTGAGTGGAATTCTTTCAGGCAACACTCTGGTGTTTGTAAGGAACGTCGGGAATTCGTGTAAAGGCGTCGGAGGGCTGTTGGAGTTTGCTGGTATTAGGCCTGAAAGACTATTGCAGATAGCAAACTTGAAAAGCTGTGACTTTACAAGGATGTATTCCGGGGCAGTGTTGAGTCTCTTCACACAATACCAGACGTTGGAGTATTTGGATCTCTCGTACAACGAGCTCCGAGGGAAAATCCCGGATGAAATCGGTGAAATGGTGGCCTTACAAGTTCTTGAATTAGCACATAATCAGCTATCCGGAGAGATTCCCTCGTCGCTTGGCCAGCTAAGGAATTTAGGTGTGTTTGATGCATCACATAACAGGCTGCAGGGCCAAATCCCAGAGTCATTCTCCAACTTATCTTTTCTGGTGCAGATCGACTTGTCGTATAACGAATTAACCGGTCCAATTCCACAAAGGGGTCAGCTGAGTACACTTCCGGCCACTCAGTATGCTAATAATCCAGGACTTTGTGGAGTTCCATTGCCCGAATGTCGAAATGGAAACAATCAAGCTCCTACAAGCTCAGATTTAGATGGCAAAAGAAGTAGGAAGGCTGCTGCTGTTTCATGGGCTAATAACATTGTCCTTGGGATCCTTATCTCCATTTCTTCTATATGCATTTTGATCGTATGGGCGATTGCGATGCGCGCGAGGCGGAGGGGAGTCGAGGAAGTCAAGATGCTTAACAGATTGCAAGCAGTTCATGCGGCTACGACATGGAAGATCGAGAAAGAGAAAGAACCGCTGAGCATCAATGTCGCAACGTTTCAGAGACAGTTAAGGAAGCTAAAGTTCTCCACACTCATCGAGGCTACAAATGGTTTCTCAGCAGCAAGTCTCATAGGTAGCGGCGGGTTCGGAGAAGTGTTCAAAGCCACTTTGAAGGACGGTTCAAGTGTTGCGATCAAGAAACTAATTCGATTGAGCTGCCAGGGCGATCGAGAATTCATGGCTGAAATGGAAACGTTAGGGAAGATAAAGCACAAGAATCTCGTGCCATTGTTGGGGTACTGCATGATAGGAGAGGAAAGGCTGCTTGTGTATGAGTTCATGGAGTACGGCAATCTCGAAGAAATGCTCCTCGGAAGAGCAAAGGCTAGAGATCGACGGATATTAACATGGGAGGAGCGGAAAAAGATCGCTCGGGGTGCCGCGAAAGGACTCTGTTTCCTCCACCACAATTGCATCCCTCATATTATTCATAGAGACATGAAGTCAAGCAATGTGTTATTAGACCATGAAATGGAAGCCAGGGTCTCAGATTTCGGAATGGCAAGGCTCATAAGTGCCCTTGACACTCACTTAAGTGTGAGCACACTTGCAGGCACACCAGGTTATGTCCCACCAGAATACTATCAAAGTTTCCGATGCACGGCAAAGGGAGACGTCTATTCGTTCGGAGTCGTCCTCCTGGAACTCTTGACCGGAAAGCGCCCGACCGATAAAGAGGACTTCGGGGACACCAACTTGGTGGGGTGGGTGAAAATCAAGGTGAGGGAACAAAAGCACATGGAAGCGATAGACCCCGAAATACTGCTGGCGACTAAAGGAACAGACGAAGCCGAAGCCGAAGAAGTTAAAGAGATGATGAGGTACTTGGAGATAACACTGCAATGCGTCGATGACTTCCCTTCGAAAAGGCCTAACATGTTGCAGGTGGTGGCATTGCTAAGAGAGCTGATGCCTGGATCAGCCAATGGAAGCAGCAACAGTGCTTGAACAATAAGGTATTGTTTTATTTGATCATTATGGTTAATGTAAAAAGATAAAAAAGTTTGTAATATTTATAAGAGCTTATTGTTTTTTGCTTATGCAAACTATTAAGAGCTTATAGCATAGATGGAAACAACTCTAGAGACAATTCATGTTGCAGAAGAAAATCCATCTGTTCATACCAACAGGTTTCATTTCACTTATTATTTCGAATCAAAGAACTCGAACAACAACTCGAATCAAAGAACTCAAGTCTCTCCATCCCAGAAGTCTTGAACAGACCTGTAAGGACCATTAGCGGACAGAAAATGTTCAGCTGCATTCCTTCGCATTGTGGGAGTTGGCTAATTTTATGCAAATCATCATCACTGAGCTCCCAATCAAAGATGTCAAGGTTTTGTTTCATCCTTTCCTTGTTGAAGCTCTTCACAATTACGCATACTCCTTGTTCATACACCCATCTCAAGCAATCCTGAGCAGGTGATTTCACCTTGGCTTGAGCAATTTCTTTGAGTATCTCGGAATTGATCAACTGATCGCTTCCCCACGCCGTTCCTTTGGCCCCCAACGGGGAGTAAGCCTGCACAGGTATGCCCTTCTCCTTGCAGAAGTCCCTCAGTTTCTTCTGTTGCCACATAGGGTTCATCTCCACCTTTCACAGTTTCACCCCATACATCAGTTCATACACAAATCCGCCATTGATGAATTGAAAAGCATTAAGTAGAAACTGAAGTGATCCTTACTTGGTTCACAGCAGGTGGGATTTTGGCAGTGGAAAGGATGGTCTGGAGCTTCTTGCATGATAAATTGCTTACCCCTAAAGATTTGGTTAGGCCGAGATTTTGACATTCCTCCATTGCTTCCCACACAGAGTTTAGATCAAGAGGAACAATGTCTTCCTCCTTGAAAGGAAACTCATATTTTCCAGGCTTCGAGCTCATGGCCAGTGAAAAAGATACAGATCAAGATACTCCAGCTTCAAATTCCTATTCAAAATCAACAGACAATTAGCAAACCAATAGCAAGAATCATAGTGAAAACATCAATGGAACAAAGGGTTATCATTTATCGATACTCGAGCGTTTGCCGGAAAGCAGTGACGACACGGTCACGGTGAGCATCGCTGCACCAGAACTTGGAAGTGATGAAGAGTTCTCTCGGGACTTGATTAACCCCAGACGAAGAGCATCGGCTACTGCTTCACCTATAGGCTGCTCGGTCCGGTAGATCGCAGCCGTGTCGAAGTGGCGGTAACCGAGTCGGATGGCATCGATGATCGTGTGTTTCAGGGTGGCGTTGGAAGCACTGAAAGGGGATTAGCTGTGCAGAAGCCTAACAGGGGGATACGTTGATCGCCGGTTGAACCGAGAGGGAAGCTCGGGATGCTTTCGTTCTCCTTGGACTCCATTTTAGTTCCAACTTCCATGTCTATGAACAACTATAGTGTATATACTATATGTATACACACACAAACATATATGTGTGTGTATACATATATTAGAAGTTTCAATGAACTTCCATGGCTGTTCACATCATTTGCTTCATCTTTTACCTTCCCAAGTATCTACAGCCACAAGTAATGTGATTTTATTTATTAATTTATTTTTTCACATTTAGATTTTTTTTTTAAAAACAAATCATTGCCAAGTGGGTTTCACGTCTCACGTAGTACACTTTATTATTATTATTATTATTAAATATGTTAGACGTAATATTTAATTTTTCTTTCATTTTAGTATCATGTTAAAATTTAACGTTAAATTTAAAAAAAAAATTAAAAGTTTAAATACTAAAACATACTACAACTGACAGTTTAAGTACTGAACATGTTAAATTTTTAAAGACGAGTACTACAATGAAGCTAATAGTAAACTTTAAGTATGATTTGAAAAAAATTGAAAGTTTAAGTACTTAAAGCAAACAAAAACTCATAGTTTAGGTATTAAACACGTAACTTACCCTTAATCTTAAAACACTTTAATTTTACTTGTAATGTCGAGGTAAAATTAGAACACTTAAATAACTTATCAATAGAAGATTATATTTGTTTAACAAGAATCTAAAAGAAATAGTATGAGCTTCGAGTTGATTTGAGTTGCTCTTGGATAAGAATTTCAGATCTGGAAGAATTGTCACATTTGGTATGATCCTTCACTAAACCGAGCCACGCCAACTAGCATAACCGAAATGATCCGATCAAGCCTCGTAAAGCATTCCGACCTCGAGACGCTGCGGCAGCGGCACGCCGAGGGCAGGCAGTGCAGACCTACAGTTATTGTGCAACACTTCATAGAAGGCAAGCATTAATCTATCAAACAGGCTTGTGTTCTTGCCTACGTGAAACCTTGCTTTTCCTCGAACATGAATTACGCCTGCGATTTCAACCTCTCTCAGTTCGGAGATCTCTTCCCGACCCTGAGTAAGAACCGAAGGTAAACAACCGGAGCTGTTTTCGATATGCACTCGCAAGCTATCCATGACTCGACTAACAAAGTCGTCTCCTCCGAGGTTTACAGAATCCGCGTATCCGTATTGAATCACGCATGCGTAAACTCCTCTGAGGCCTAACTTCTTCACCACTATCCTCTCCTGTGGAGCAACTTTGGGAACCAGTAGATATCTAAGTGTTGTGAAAATAGTGACCTTATGAAGTGATCTCGTGTTTTTAATATAATGTCCGAGGATCGGAGTCAGTCCGTTCTGTATGTTCGAGTAAAAGAAACACAATCCAGGAACCCTTTGCACGCTCGGGTCCGATAATAGCACTCCTAATCTTCCCAGGTCGATCTTGTGAGTTAGTTCATACTCTACCTTCCTCTGTCTCCCGTAGTACCAACCGAACATGATGAAGGCGAGAATAATGGATATGGCAAATGGAATCCATCCGCCTTCGGGAATTTTAGTCAAAACCGCACTCACGTAGACGCCTTCCATCGTAAAAAAGACGACGAAGTACATCGCAACCAGTAACAGCGGCGTTCTCCATATGATTATCATGACCAGCGTCAACAATATAGTTGTGATGAGCATGACTAGACTAACAACGACACCTGAAGAAGCAAGATCTTATACATTAGCTTGTCTGTAAGAAAATGTTCAATCACTTGCTTAACCGGAAAATGCCGAAGGTTTATTTTACCGTACCAAAAGCGTTGCCGATCTCTTGTCCGTCTCCAAATACAAGTATAACCGCAACACAAAGAATCATGAGGATGTAATTGACTTCCGGAGAGTAGACTTCTCCCTCTTTATTGGAAGAGGTGTGCACAACCTTGACCCGAGGAAAGTAATCCAGCACGACAGATTGCTTGATGACAGAGAATGTGGCAGATATCAGTGACTGGCTTGCCACAACTGCAGCCGATGTGGCTATGATAAAGATCGGCCAGTAAATTGTTTTTGGTATAAACTTGTAAAATCCATCAATATGATCATCGGGGTTCCTAATCAAATAGGCTGTTTGTCCCGCGTATGTCAGAATCAACGACGGATATATTGTAAATAAGAAAGCTATCTGTTGGAAAGGAGCGAGAGAGCCATTTCAGGCATGGAAAAGGAAGCCTAAGAGGTCGTAAAAGTTGTGCACGTAACGTACCTGAATCGAACTTCGGTTAAAATGACCCAGGTCTGCAAATAATGCTTCAGAACCTATACAGTATTTAAAACAGATATAAGGGTATTATCTGCATCACATATGTTTCTATCACATAAATGATATGAAAGGGCAAGTCTTGTACAAATAAACATATGTGATAGAAGCGAACCAGTAACTTACTTATCAATAACGATATGGTAACTTAAGTATCAAGGAATTACCTGTGATGCAGAGAATGGTACCGCCAAGCATCAGCCAGCCTTCTTTTCCGTTTCTTCGAAAGAAATGGAAAATGTAGTGCGGCGATAAAGCCTTGAATATGCCGGGGTAGTGATGTATAATGCTATAGATTCCGACAAGTGGAGTGCTCAAGGTCCATGCGCCCATGATAGGGGAAAACAAAAAACTAACTCGGGAAGTTCCGAATTTCTGCAGAAGGAACAGAACAAAAAGAACCACTGCAGAAAGAGCTTCGACTAAAGCTGCAATTCAAAGATCAGCAACTCGTAAAGCTAGAGGACGAATGCTCGCGAATAAATTAATAAGAAAATCACGAAAGCTTGAATACTTACATTTGCTGACAGAAGGGAATGGTGCTCTAAGTCCATCCATTGCAGACAAAACTGTCAAAACATTTGCAAGTCAAGTACAAAATACTCAAATACTTACAAAGAAAATAAATCTGGAAACATACCTGAGATTGCCGGAGTAAGAATACCATCACCGATTAGCATACATGTGCCTAACATAGCAATGAAAAGCAACGCCCTTCTGGCGACCATGCTTCTTTCGAAAACTTTACTCACTTTTCCGGTTGTTGTCGTCCTCATAAGTACAAAACGTGAAGGACTTGAGTTTAAATCGGAACGTTTCGAAGGAAGTATTCCGATATTCATATGTCTACAAAGTAAAGAATACAAGGCAAAAGTTCCACCTGCATCCAAGCAGTTCTTTTGGCTAAATGAAGAATATTATGTGCACTAGTACTAAAACGAAATGCAAAATGAATCACACAAGCAGTACTCCAAATCCAACTGTTTTCAGGGCAAGCATGAACACATCCAAGAAACTAACAACAAGCATGCTTGACTATGAGAGCTTAAAACCCGGCAAGCGAAACGAGAACATCGAATTTGAAGCAACTACTCTCACAATCACAGAGATTCCAAAAATACAAATTTGTAACATGCATACCTTCACCCTGATCATCTGCCTTAAGAGCTATACAGGTATACTTGACAACACCAATGAGTGTAAGAGTCCAAAACATGATGCTATAGATCCCCAAGTAATCTTCTTCAGTTGGAGAATTCAAATGCATTGATGGATATACATACAATGGGGATGTCACAAGCCCTCCAAATACAACTCCTAGAGTCTTGTATGCAAGGAACAGAGTGTTCCATTTACTACTCTCCTGGTTTTTCACGAAAACTAAGTCAAAAGCATGCACAAATTTTCGTTTCGAATCCATTGGAATTCAAAACCCAAAGTTTTGAATCCAACCCAGAATCTGGAAGTTGGAAACGAGCAAGAAAAAAACTACCTTTTTATCGGAAGACCGAAGGACTTGTGTATCGGTGGTGTTGTCGTGAGGGAAGTGGAGCGAGTCGGAGTAATGACTCGTGGTTGAAGCGGAATCAATAACGAGTTCAGATAGAGCGGCGGCGGCCGGTGGCGCCGACTGTGTATCCATAACGTTAAACAACCTAGTTTTGGTGCTCTTGTTGTGTACCGGAATCCATGGACAATCCTACTGATTAAATATACAGAAGATTCAGGGCCACCGGCTATGGCGGGATTTGTGGATCCACCTTAGGGTAAACTACCCATAAGTCACTAAATTGTTGGAGCAATTCTATTTTGACTAAACTATGAATTGTATCAATTATATCATTAAATTAATAAAATAATTCTGATCAAATTATCAATTATTAACAAAATTATTGATACGATAATTAAGTAAATCTATATAATAACATATTTAACCCTTATTATTTATTCATTTTATCAATATATTTGAATTTAATAATTTATATATGCGATGTATGATTAGAAAGTGTCTAGGTGAGTCGAGGTTTTGAGCAACCCAACTTGTATTTAGGGAGATTTGATCTGACCTAACTCAAATTTTAAGGTGAAATCTACATCTAACCTGTTTTTATCAGTTTTACCCTTTTTAATATCTAAACTTTTAATTTTTTAAAATCAGATCTAAAATTTAATTTTTGTTCCATTTTAGTACACTACCGTTAAAATCTTTAGTTTTTGTTTCATTTTAGTAAGTCGTTCAAAATTTATCGTTAAGTTTTGAAAAAATTAAAAGTTTAGGTACTAAAACATATCAAAACAGATAGTTTAAGTACTAAATATGTTAAATTTTTAACGACAGAATACTAAAATGGGGATTGTCTCAGGAAAGGCGGGTTAATATATGGCTAATATACGGCAGTACCAGATACATTAAAATGTATTTAATAAATTCGGTTTAGCGGTACCTATTATGTTGACAACTAATAATGTTTTAGGTAGAAAATATGAAAAACTATTAAAAAATTTGGTAACCGGTAAACTTTGGTTATCGGTAAGTATCTATCCTTTTTATAAAAGTGTCCATACTTTTAACATATCAAGTAAATTTGACCGGTTTTGTCATAATGAATCTGGTTTTGTCATATTTTTACCTGTTATATTGTAAAGTATCTATCCTTTTTATAAAAGTGTCCATACTTATTTCACTGTGAAAATATATTTATTATTATCTTTGGTTAATATTGTTAAATTTAAATTCTAAATAATATTTTATAAAATATCAAAAAATCAAATAATTTTGTGTGTAAATGAAATTATTAAATTAATATTGTAGGTGGAAAACATGAAACACTATTAAAAAAATTGAAACATAAATTACATAACTTTAAAAAAAGTATATATCATTTTTATAAAAGTGTCCATACTTATTTCACTGTGGAAAACATATTTATTATTATCTTTGGTTAATATTGTTAAATTTAAATTTTAAATAATATTTTATAAAATATCAAATAATCAAATAATTTTTTGTGTAAATGAAATTATTAAATTAATATTGTAAGTGAAAAACATGAAATACTATTAAAAAAATTGAAACATAAATTACATAACTTTAAAAAAAGTATATATCATTTTTATAAAAGTGTCCATATGTATAAAAGTAAGTCTAAGTCATGAAGAAATATTAAAACGATATACCAGGTAAAAATATGATAAAACCAGTAACAAAATGATAAAACCGGTAAAACGTTACCGGATATATTGAAAGTGTCGATACTTTATATAAGGATCGACACTTTGTGAATTTAAAAGAGAAGCAGTTTTAGCGCTTATAATGTGTCGATACTTTAAAAAAATATATCGATCCACAACGATATAACATGTAAAAATATGATAAAACCGGTATCAAAATGATAAAACCGGTAAAATGATACCGGATATATTGAAAGTGTCGATACTTTCGTAAGTACGTGTAATAAATTATCGACACTTTCAAAGAAATAGGTAATTATCCTTTCGAAAGTATCGACACCTGACATAAAAGTATCGACACTTTTGTATTTGTATCGATTAAATATAAATAACATATCCGATCAAAATATAAGCTAAATCTCCTCTGAAAATAGATAGAACGAACGAGTTTTTGAAAGCGAAGCGTAATTGTTGCTGCATTTCAGAAGGCGTTTCTAAAGCGAAGTTTGTTTGTTTGTTGCTGCAGTCTAATCGAAAAGTATGTTGTCGAAACCCTAATTTTTTATTATTACAGTAATCGCGATAGGGTTTTTATGTGTTGTTTGGGGTTTTGGAGTAAAGAAGCATTTGGGAACGATTGCAGGTAGAAAGTGATATTCAAGGAAAAATATAAATGTCAATACTTTTATTAAATATTATAGGTAGAAAATGATATTATAGGATGTATAAATGTGCCGACACATTTTGGTGTGGCCATTCAAATTCTTTTGAAGAAAACCGTTTTACCACAAGAGTAGTTATCTATATTTGTATATTGAATAAAGTGTATGTAACAAAATAATTTGATTTGCGTAAACTGATATATGAAGGAAAAATGGAGTCAATGGGTTGGAAAATTGTTGGTGGAGCAGATGACTTTGAAATTGAGGCCGAGACTCGAAAGCAACCCAAGGGTGGATATATGTACTTCTAGTAAGTATCAATGTCCTTTTGTTATTATTGTTGAAATGGTAATTGGATTAAAGTATCGATAAACTTTAAATTGATTACAAATTTTAAATGTTGACAGTATGGCCGAATGCAAAAGGATGAAGGAAGATGGCACACAGAGCGGTTCTGTATGTAAAATGAAATTGACATTGAGTAGTATTTAGTGTTAATGTATTGATTAAGAAACGTTTATATTTTATATTAGGTGACAAAAGATGTGAGGTCCAAATGGAATTCAATGAGTGATGCTGAAAAGGAACCTTACATCACACAGTCAAGGAATGATAGTAAAGAATACAAAGAACGGAGGAAAGCACATGAAAATAAGGTATTCATTAAACTTGTAAATACGTTGATACAAAATATATAAGAACTATAACATTATATATTGTTAAAAAATGTAGGAAGTGTCGACAAGATGCAGCATTAAAAGGGTGAATTTATTAATTAAACACCTTAACGAGAAGGGTCAATTGAATGTGCTAGGAGAAATAGGTTTTGGATCATTGGTAGGAGTAAGGGATCGACCTATTCGGAGGGAATTGTGTCGATCCTTGATGGCGCAATTTGATGTCAGGCAATGTGTTGCTAAATATGGTGATTTTTCATTTCCTCTCGGGATCCCATGTGCTGCAGCCGTATTGGGGGTAGAAAATGAAGGCAAAAGTGTTGTAGAAGTCTGTCAGAGTAAGGACTGGAAAGCACTTGCCTCCAAATATGGTTTGAAGCATAAGGTGACATATGCTGAAATTGAAGAGGAAATAAAAAGTGGATCTTACGTTGGGGATGAGTTGAAGGCCAGAGTTCTATTATACCTTGTCGGTATATTTCTTTGTCCAACGGGTAATACGTCAACGAACAAAGAACATATGAAGCTCATTTGTGATGAAGGCTTGAAGGGTGAATTCAATTGGGCTGAATATATCCATTCGAGATTGATTGAATCAATAATCAACTTTAAAAAGGGCAGCCAGAGAAACCTCAAAGGGTGCATAGCAATCTTAGAGGTAAATGAGTTGAAGAACTTTTTTGTGTTTTTATATAAAAATATAAATTTTATTATAAATGCAGGTTGCACTGTTCGATTTTTGGTCGGGCTGTGAGGCAGTGCCGGCTTATGAAAGAACCGGAGTGGCACACATCCGTGCATGGGGGAAGGAAGAGGTGGTTAGAGTGATGGTGAAGTTGAAGTTGGATAGAGCGAAGAAGCAAGAAAGGGTAATAAATGTAATTAAATAATATTAAGAATATAATCAATGTCTTAATATTGTAATTTAATTTTGAAGGTTATTGGCAAGGATGTAGAGGAGGCAGTGGAGGCAGATGAGAAGAAAGGAGGGATGGTTGTATTGGGGGATGACGGTGAGTGGGACGACGGTGAGGGAAAACGTAGTAACTTCGATATTCTGATGTCTGAATTGGCTGATATCAAAAAAATCCAATTTGAAATCATGCAAAGACAATCAAGAGTCGAAGAGAAACTTGAGAGAGTCGAAGATACACTTGAGAGGCATAAGGGGGTAGTGGAAGGAAAAATAGATGGAGTGGTGAAAGAAGTAGAGGTGTTGAGGGGTGAAGTGGTGAAAGAAGTTGGGGTGTTAAGGGGTGATATTAAGATGGTGACGGGTGAAAATTTTGAGGGAGTGGTTAAGGAGGTTGTGGAATTGAGGAGTGAACTTACGAGGGTGAAGGGGGTGGTTAATAAATACTTGGATGAAGGAGATCAATTGAAGGGTGAAATAAACGAGATGAAGAGCTATGTAGAAAAAAAATATGATGAACTGAAAAAATATGAAGAAGAAAAGAGGGAGGAGGAAAAAGAAGAGATGGAAGAAGTGAGGAGGAAGGAAGTCAATGTTATTTATACACCGGAGAGTATTATAGCAGCAGATTTGGATTCGGAATGTCCTGCACCCCAGAAGAAGAAGCAGAAGGTAAGTTGAATAAAAGAAAACTTAATTTGATTTTTATTATGTTGTTGTGACAAAAATTTGTATGCAAAATTGTAGGTTGAAAAAGCGGATATTCCAAGCGGAATTGATGACATCGAAGCTGCAATTTGTGATTATTTATGGAATAGCGAGTTAGAATCGGAGTAAGTGAAATATATTGTTTTGTGAGTGATATTTAAATATTTCATGACAACATATTAATCCTAATGATTCGTACAGATATTCTGTAATCTCAATGGGAAATCAATTCGCTACTGTATACGACGTTGCAACGTTGAAGCCTACGGAATGGGTTGGCGGTGTGGTAAGTAGAAAGTAGAAAATGTTAAAACTTATTGAATATGTTCTGATTGTGTAATTAATTTTGTTAGGTTATCGATTTGCTCGCCTGGACCATATGCTACGATTCTCAAAAGTCACTCCGGAGGATTGGCTACCTTCCATACCTCTTAGCGGTGAGTTAAATTAATAAATATTGAAAAGTAGTGTTATAGACGGTAAATTAATAATGTTTGTTGCGTAATTACAGCAACAGGCGTTGGATGC